GGAAATGCAATTCAAATATATTGTTTAAACATTGGTTTTTAATATTGTGGTCAAATCAATTATTTATATATAATATATATGTTATTTATTATTTATTTATAAATATGTTATTTATATTGCATTTTTGTAAACTTTTTATATGATGGAAATAGTTGAAAAAATACTTATATTTTTTGTTTTTATTTCAATTGTTATATTTTCTTTTTATTCTGATAATTTATTATTTTTTTTAAAAATTAAATCAAATCGTATCAGGTTCGTATATTCGACATCTTGATCGGATTCAAATTCGGATTCGAATCAATATTTATGAGATCTGGTCGGATCTTTGGATCAGATCATATTTGAATATACCATTATTCAAATCTGATATGATCTGTTTGTATCCCTATCAAGCTACTTGCCGACGACGGCCTAGCTAATTAAATTATTGAACCATTTGACATGGTTAGTCGGGTTATGTTTTAGACATCAATGCTCTTTATTTTTTATCATAATTTTATCCCATTTCTATTATTAATGAAACTAATTCTCATTAATCACACTTTTTTATATGATGAATATATAATATTATAGAATGTACCCTAAATTATCGGCAAATTTCTACATTTTATAGAATTTTATGTATTTTATTATTTAATAATAACATCATGTGTTGATCCATTTGACGTGGATAGTTTAACCACTAACTCACCACTTGGATGGGAAAAACATTTTGCTTTTTTAGCTAATTTTAAATCATTTATTCCATTTTCATCATCAATAAAAGTAATTCTTATATTCACATTTATTTTGTTTAATATGGCGAATATATAGCAATACAACTGTATCAAAATGCTTTATACAAAGCTTATATTTTTCTTTTAGTATGTATATATATATATATACATATATATTACTTAGTTATGACATCATAGATTGACCCATTTGACCCGGAATGTTAGATCATTGACCTATCTACCATCTAGATATGGAAATGGCTTCGTTTTCAAATTGGTTTTAAAATTTTCATTTCTTTTATATCATTGATAAAATAATTATTATTTATCATACTTATTTTTGTTTATATTATTAGTATATAATATTATAGATGTTCTCAAAATTGTTTCATATTTTTTTATTATTCTATTTTAAAAATTTATTTTTAATTATACATCATGGGTTAACCTATTTGACTTGAAAGGTTGAACCACTAACCCACCCCTTAGATAGGAAGATGGTTTAATTTCCTATCAGTTTTAAGTCGTATATTTGATGTCCATCATTAATAAAATTATGTCTATTTTATCATACTTATATTTTAATATGACAAATATATAATAATAGAAATGTGTCCAATTTTTTTTTTTCAAAATTTCTTTTTTTCTATATTTTTTTGTATTTTTATATTTCTAAATTTGTATTATTTATTTATGACATCATGAAATTATTCATTTGACCCAAATGGTTGAAGTACTTACCCACGACTTAGATGGAAAATATGATTTCATTTCTAGGTTTATTTTAAAATATAAAATTTAATTCTATTAATAATTAGTGTGCATGGATTTATTAGTGGAATTTAATAATGATAAACAAAAGTATTTTTTATATTTCTAAATTTGTATTATTTATTTATGACATAATGAAATTATCCATTTGACCCAAATGGTTGAACTACTTACCCACCACCTAGATGAAAAATATGATTTTATTTCTATGTTTACTTTAAAAATATAAAATTTCATTCTATTAATAATTA